TGAGCGATGTTTTCTTTCCTTGTCTCTTGTTTTGGCCTGGTTAAAGTGTGGTTTTACCTTTTTGCATCGAACCAGTGTTGGTATTAATCTTGACGTTGCTCATTCATTTGTTATTATCTCACATCTTGTTATTGCTTATTGCATCATCTCACATGATCATGAGTTTTCAAAATAGCCGGCTTCGCAAAGCGTATGAGTCCAGCTTTCAAAGTTGCATAGTGCATATCATTTGCATTTTGCCCTAGAACTACGCTGGTTTGATTCCTTACAAGGGAATACGTAGGCAGCCTATGAGCGCAACCATTTGTTTTATGTCTTGATTGTTTGTCCAAGTCTTACAGCCTTGTCCAAATGGGTTGTCTTTGGGCTTTGACATTCACTCACGTCATTTCATGATTCTGAGTTCTGCCAAAAAGGGGCAACTGTAGACACCCCATTTTTGATAGCCCTTACGACCTGGACACCATTGCATGCACACCCGATGATGAGTTTATGTGCTGGCCAAGTGCTCGAAGTCCTCACTGGAATGCCACAGCTTTGAACCTTTCAAACCCTACACCCCTGTTATCTCATTTTTTGGACCAAGCCTTGGTCTTTCAAGCTCGCAACTTCTGGTGGCCTACCGGCCACCTTTATGGGCTGCCGGCCACTGATGTGGCTTGTCGACCATCACTGATGGCTGGCCGGCCACTAGTTTCTTTTGCATATATTTTATGCCAGTTGTGACAGCTGTTTGCATAGATGTATGCATCTATCCACACGTGTTGGGCTGGATATCCTTGTACGGAATTCATGTTTTCTATATATATGAGACCCCACTCTCATGTTTTAAGGTTAGAAAATTTTGAGATAAAAAATTTTCCTCTATCTCTACAATTCTCTTTCTCTCTAACAAATCTCTACACTTTTGCCTACAAATCCTTAACCTTTGCGTATACACCCTTAACCAAATCTTCTCGTCTTTGAGCTGAGGTCCTTTTGAGCTTGGTTTGAGCTCCTGAGGGTGTTGTTTGCTTGGTTTTGTTGCTTGAATTGCTTCTTCTCTTCAAGAGGTATAAGGCTTTCTCCCTTTACTTGCTTTTTCTACTATTGTACTTGTTGTTTTCAAACTATTTTTGGGTTGTAAAACTTCTGTAATTTTGGGCTAAAACTTGGATTCTAAGGCCATTAAAGGTTGAGGGATAATCCACCATTCTTTATACCTTGTTTTGGAGGCCTTTACCCTTGTGTTTCCCATCCTTTTACTATCTCTTTCTAAGCTTTTAAACACTGATTTTTAGAGTTATTTCCGTGGCCAAAATCATGTTTCCAAGTCCAAATTTAGAGGGGTTAGCATCCCCTCCTCGTGTCTTGCTTACTAGCCTAGTTTGTGCCATGTTTTAGCATATTAATCTAAGCTATTTTTAGCTCAATTCCAGCATGTTTTAGGATTGTATTAGACCTATTTTAGGATTATTTTGGGCTGTTAGTTGCATTTGAGCTATATTTTGCATGCTTGTAGTGTAATAGTCCTCATAAGTTTGGTGTTCTAAGCCTTATACATCATCTTATTTGAGTTGATAGTATTTATTTATGCTTTTCTCACTCATTTTCAACACTAATAATCTCTGCAACCTCCCTCCTTTCTTGGCTTTTTGCTTTGCTTTGAAAGTGTTTCAAACAATTTGTTTGTTTAAAGCATTAGATTGAGATGTGATGCTTAATTGTTTAATCCCTTAGGAGGTTCATTACCAACGGTATGATGTCTCTTTCATGCATAAAACAACTCTTGGTTTGAGCCATCTTTTCATTAGAGGACTTAAACTCATCCCTTGGACTCAATTGATTAAAGAATGGGTGGTAATCTAAAATGAAGTAATTAAAACTTGGGACTAAAATGGTGAAAAATAAGAATTTAGTTGTGTTCAATCGGACGTTAATTGAACACATGGAAGCTTGAACCATTTCATACTCATTAGTAATGAAATGATTCAAGGTTCCAAGGTCACTACTTCCCGTGATCTTCCATGATGGGGAAGTGGTATGAGTCTTGCTTTGTTGCATTTATTGAATTTGCAAACTTGGTTTCATGAGCCATCATGCAATGAAATTGCATCCATTGATGGTTTGTGAACCAAACTTGCTACTCCTTTGATTTGTTCATGAAAAAGAGGGGTGAGTAGTGCAAACAAACCCTTGAAAGTACCCTGTATATGCTCTGTTTGTCCTCTGTTGCAGGAAGGAGAACTGGGCAACAGTGGCCGGCAACCACTTTCCATGGCCGGCAGGTGGCCGGCAGACCACCTCTGATGGCCAGCCGGCCATCACTGGTGGCCGACACCCACATCACTGGCCGGTCAGCCACTGATGCGAAATTCAACAGTGTGTTCCTTTGGCAGAGTAGAGTTATTCTAGAAGTGGGCAGAAGTGTAAGTGTTCTCTGTGCAACAGAGGCTCTCCGGAAGCAAAACAGTGGTCTTTTCAGGTGGAAACCGAGCATGCGCATGAACATCTCTCTTTTCTCGAGATGGAGTAATTAGTTGTTTAGTTTAATTACTTTTTTTAATTACACTTGTATTGTAATTATTTAATTAGTTTGTTAGCTAGTTATTCAATTTTGTCATTAGTTAACTAGCTAGTTAGTTAATTCATTTTTTGTTGTAATAATTAGTTATGTAGTTTAGCTAGTTATTTATTTCGGTTTGTAATAGTTAGCTTAATTAGCTTAGCTTTATTTAATTAGTTAATTAGCTAGTTTATTCATTCGGACTCTCCTTCGTGAGAGCGTAATGTAGTAACGTGCATGTCTTCCAACCACACGTCTTTCAACATTTTATTTACTAGCTTATGTTGGTTAGTTTAGGGACATCGTGTTTTGTTTAGCATACTTCATGTTTGCATCCATTTGTCTTACACGCGCCGAGGCTCGGTTCATCATTCTAACTGCATTGTTAGTTTAAACATTCTTTGAATACGTGCTTAGACCGCATGTTATCAAATTATTTCATATGCCATACTAGTAGCCGAGCGTATTAGTTGCATGTCGCATGTGTTGCATTAGTCATATTACATAAAGTTAGGATCATGCATTTTTCTAAATTTTTTGTTTATTTTGGCTTGGAGTACTAGGTGAGCCTTTACTCGCTTTAGCATATTGCATGAATGTGATTGTTGCCATGTTTAGCATGCCTGCCATGCTTAAATGTTATAACTCTTAAATGCCTGTGGATGAAGGCTAGTTGATTGAGTTAGAATAATTTGAGTAATGTTTATATGCAATCACTTTTTTAAGTGGTACATATTTCGAAACGATTTTGCAAAACAAACATGACTCGAGATGTTCCAATTCTTGCAATTTAGTCTATACTTGTTTGTGCGCATCACATAGTAATGCTAGCCTAATAAACCAGTACAAGAGCACATAATGTTGATAAAAATCATATCATGATTAGTAGAGGCAGATCTTTGATCGGGGCGAGCAGGGGTGCTCAATGTATTCATGACCTTCCTCTCCTGTATCGAAGTTCCCGAGCCGAGATAATCTTAGTGATGACGGGCATGTGGCCTTTGGCACGAGTCATAGGTTTCCCAAATTTTCCCAAAATAAAATATTTAGGTGGCGACTCTGTATCTGGCAAAGTAGTTCATTTTTGGCAATTTGATTCAAAATCTACTTTCCAAAATATTTGTCGGATTTGGACTCTTTGGTGTTTATCAATTTCACATTATACTTGTGAGATTAGATTCAGAACCGCGGGAGTCCGAACTATAGGGCTTATTTCGAACTTCCAAAAGGGAGGCGCAAAAAAGTCGAGCTACACCCATATATCTTTTTTTATCCCCAAGTAACCCTACCACCAAAGATAATAGATGGAAACCTGGGAAAAATTTATGGGCAAGTATACAAAAGAAAACCACATAGACTACATAAATACAGCCAAAACACGTACATCAAATAGAAAAACACAGGCGAAACGTCCACCAAAACCAATCAACAATGCTAACCTCCTGCACAAGCTTTCGGTTTTTACCATAGATAGAATATAAAGTCTAATAAGCACCTCGCACCTCATAGCCACGACATCATAGCCACTCACAAAAGCCATGACGATGGAAAAGGTTACCCCATGAAAGATCTCGATAAAATCACATGAAACTCATACGGTCAGGTGTCACATTAACGGTCTCAAGGAAGTATAGCGAAAACCAATAACCACTGTACCAACAATCATAGTTAAAATCAATCCCATCATATAATCAAACACCGCATTCCCCAGTCCCTTCCTTGGTTGATCACAAAGCCTCAATCCCCACAGCAGTGTCTCCCTCACTCCATGTTGGGAGTGGCTTAAAAACCAAATCAGTATGGGTCACATGAAGACAAGAGACAACTAGAAATCCGATAAATTTCCATCTCCCAGTCTCTAACTTGGCTAGTCATCGAACCACGATTCTCCATAGCAGTGACCCCTAAATCACTCTTGGCGAAGATGGTTCAAGAATAACCTCATCTAGAGTTACATGAGGATCACACGATCAATTATCATAAATAAATTTAAAAAAAAAAATCGACTGCAACAGTACACTATCGGATAATGGCTCAACCAAAAACCATGGGCAAAACCCACTTGATTAACAATCAGCCCAATAAGAAAGCCAACCGGGACTCATTTGACCAACATGTTAATGGCCCATAAAAACCACCCGCAAAAATTCGGCCATACCTTTACACCACATGCAACACAATATAATATTTTATATCATTATATTAATACAAAACCATTGCTAGTTTAACCAAAACCTCGGGCCAAGAACTACCCACGTGCACCATTTCTCTAAGCCTGCGTTTGGTTGGAAAATTTTAAGAGGAATTTTGAAAGAGAAAAAGAAAAAGTACGTGCAATCAGATAAAATGTAAGTATATTTTATTCACATTTCACCTACTTTTTCTATTTTCTTTTTTAAATCTATCCTTAAATCTCTCAATTAAACACAGAATAAGTGTGCGCATTTCAAGGACTATGGCAACGATTCTTGTAAGGAGAAATAACTGCACGGTGGCACAGTAAAAAAAAATATAAAATTATAAATTAATATATCATTTTAATTGGGAGAAAGATGTTTTTGGGCCTACATTTTAGGGAAAAGAGTGTTGTTTAGATTCGTGAGATTCACTATAGATTTCGTTTTGATAATTTAAATTATTCATTTCATCGAGTACTTTATGTATTTTATTCACATAAAGAATTAAGTTGATTTAATAATTGTAAATTTTTCAATTTATCGAATTTTTAATCCAAAAAATTTATGATTTAGTTTTTTATGTAGATAAAATAAATAAAAGGTCCAACAAAATAAACAGTCCAAATCATCAAAACGAAATATGTGATGAGTTCTACAAGTCCATACAAGATGCTCCAATCTAAAATTTAAACTAGAGATCGTCCTCCTTTCAATTATTAAAGTGAATAAACATCAGGAATTTAGAAAGAGAAAAGGAAAAAGTATGTGAAAGTAGATAAAATGTAGGTATATTTTATTCACATTTCATCTACTTTTTTTATTTTATTTTTAAATCTATCCTTAAATCTCTCAACTAAACACAGAATAAGTGTGCACGTTTCAAGGACTCTGGCAACGATTCTTGTAAGGAGAAATAACTGCACGGTGGCACGGTAAAAAAAAATATATAAAATTATAAAGTAATATACCATATTAATTCGAAGGAAGATGCTTTTGGGTCTACATTTTAGGAAAAAGAGTGTTGTTTGGATTCATGAGATTCACTATAAATTTCGTTTTGATAATTTAAATTATTCATTTCATCGAGTACTTTATGTTTTTTATTCACATAAAGAATTAAGTCGATTCAATAATTGTAATTTTTTCAATTTATCGCATTTTTAATCCTAAAAATTTACGATTTAATTTTTTATGTAGATAAAATACATAAAACGTCCAACAAAATAAGCAATTCAAATCATCAAAACAAAATATGTGATGAGTTCTACAAGTCCATACAAGATCCTCCAATCTAAAATTTAAACTAGAGATCGTCCTTCTTTTAATTATTAAAGTGAATAAACATTATTACTGATTTGTACTTTTTTTTTTTCTTTTTTTTTTCTTTTTTCTGTGACCATGCTGTTATTCCCCGTTCTTGTAATGTAATAGTGATTTAAGAGTCGATTTGAAATGCAGTACTTTCCTCGAAGTTTGCAACTCACCTTTCTTCTTCAACACCTTCTTCTCCATTGCTTTCCCCAAAGAAAAACAAAAACTAGTGACCAAGAAGAAGAAACAGAGCTGTAATGACAAACCACCACCAATGGGTCTATCTTGCAATATTTGTTATGCTGTTATTATCTTTTTCATAGCCTCAGTATCCTTCTTTGACGATGCCCAATTTTCACGTCCAATGGCAATGTTAAGTACTTCTTGGATCAACAAGCCCTCAATTTACATTGAACTTACCGATTTTGTTGGTTTAAGTCTCACACCCGTCCTCGAAGGATCATCCAAGGGCTCACATTTGATCTGTGGTTTCTATTGCCCTACTCAACAAACTCAGGCATGCCTCTTTGGTGTTGTACTTTTCCGTAGTAGATATTATTTTAGCGACAACTCGCCTTCTATAATTGTACCGGAACTAGTTTGGTCTGCTAATCCGGACCGTCCTGTTCAAATTGACGCCACCTTACAACTCACTGGAGATGGAGATTTGATATTGCATGACACAGATGGCACTTTCGTATGGTCTACCAACACATCAGGAAAGTCCGTCTTCGGCATGAATTTCACTGAATTGGGAAACCTGGTCCTCTTTGATCAAAACAATGCCACGGTTTGGCAGTCGTTTGATCACCCAACTGACTCCTTGCTTGTTGGCCAGACTTGATCTCGTAGCCAGAAGCTCACCTCCAGCAAATCCGTATTGAACTTGACTCCAGGTTTGTTCTCTCTTAAAGTTCACGATTATTACAATATGGTGGTGGCTTATGTAGAATCCAATCCACCCTTGCCCTATTTTAAATCCTATGTACGAGTGAAATACGTTAAATTCGAGAAAGAAAGTTTTTTGGGGCAGACAATCCTTGTTGCATCATCGTCGTCACCTCATCGTCAGTTCATAAGGTTAGATCCTGATGGGCATTTGAAGGCTTATAAGTGGGATGGATTGAATTGGAATGTGATGGCTGATCTGATGACGTCAGATATTGGTGACTGCGGTTATCCCATGGTGTGAGGGCCGGCCTTGAGTTTTCGGGGTCTAAGATGAAATAATTTTTCAAGATCTTTTAGATATTTATAGAAATAAAAATAAAAATCACCCTGTTTGGTTTAGAATTTTTAAAAATAATTATTTAAGTTTGTAATTTGTATTTTTTTTTATATTTTTTGTATTTGGCAACTTTTTTTGTTTTTTTTTTAAAAATTACAAATATTATAATTTTTAAGTGTATCTATATTAGATATATCTACAAAATAAATAAATAAAATTGCGTAAAATATTTTTAAAAAACACATAATTGGGCCATAAAAAAAGAAGGGAAAAAAATAGGCCCCACAGACATATACATATATTTTATTTTTTATTTTTTTAATTGGGCTAATAACTAACGCTTACAAATATTTTTTAACTGGACCTTTTATCAATTGGGCCAAATAGAACTTTTGAGGCATTTTAAAATGGCCTAAATTAATTAAACAAAATTGGGCCATTTTGAATTTTTGATATAGTACAAGATAATGAATTTAGGGACCTTTTTTTGGGCCTAATTTTTGGAGCCCTAGGCATAGGCCTCACTGGCCTTAGCCTAGGGCCGGCCCTGCATGGTGTGTCGCAATTATGGCATATGTTCTTCAAATAGACAGTGCAGTTGTCTTAAGGAAGCCATCTACAACACCTTATGGCAAAAAAATTCTAGGTAACCCAGCCTTGTATGTTCCCTTGTTACACCCATTTCTTGTGACCATTCTCAATATCACACCTTTTTTAAGCTTAAGAATACTAGTTTCTTTTACTCTAACTTCCACAAATACTTGCCCTCAAACTTTTACTTGGATGAAAAATTAGCATTAGAAGATTGCAAGAAGAGTTGCTTGAAAAATTGTTCATGCAAAGTAGCTCTTTTGCACATAATTTCGGCTATTTTTCAAAGTAAGGTTGCTTATTATTGTCTGAAGTCTTTTCTCTTATAAGTAATGAGGGAACAACATATGAGAACGTTGTTGTATTTCTTAAAATGCAGAAATCTCCAACTAGACAGAATCCTATTCCTTCAGCAACAAGTTCCCCTCAAAAGAAATCAGGGCAAGTCAAGATCATACCGGGTTCCAGTCTCGGAGATTTTTTTGTTGTATTTTTTTTGGTTGCCTCTTGCATTTTCTTTTTCAAAGAGAAAAAAAAGTCCGAGGATTTTGATGAGTTCTTTGTTGATCAAGTACCAGGGATGCCTACCAGATTTTCTTACTAAGAATTGAGAGCCACGACAAGCAATTTCAATAATAAGCTCGGTGAAGGAGGATTTAGGTCAGTGTTTCAAGGGACATTAAGCGATGGCACCAAAGTAGCGGTGAAGCATCTCAATGGTTTTAATTAGGTTAAGAAGTCATTTTTAGCTGAAGTTGAAACAATAGGAAGCATTCACCAGGTCAATTTGGTGAGATTAATTGGATTTTGTGCTGAAAAACCATATAGGCTTCTAGTTTATGAGTACATGTCCAATGGATCATTGGATACATGGATCTTCCAAAAGCACTAGGAACTCTTGTGTGGCAATCCAGAAAGAAGATCATTATGGATATAGCCAAGGGACTAACCTATCTTCATGAGGAACATAGGCAAAAGATACTTCACTTGGATATCAAACCCCAAAACATCCTTTTAGATGAAGACTTCAATGCAAAAATTTCTGATTTTGGATTGTCAAAACTAATTGATAAGGACCAAAGCCAAGTTGTAACAATGATGAGGGGAACACCAGGCTATTTGGCTCCTGAATGGTTGAGCTCAATTATCACCGAGAAACTATAGATGTTTATAGCTTTGGTGTCATGGTCTTGGAAATGTTGTATAGGCGCAAAAATTTGGATAGGTTTCAGCCTGAGGAAGATATGCATCTGCTAGACCTGTTTAAGAGGAAGGTAGAAGAGGAACGACTTCTGGATATTGTTGATAAATACAATGATGACATGCAAACACATAGAGCAGAAGTTGTGGAGATGATGAGGGTTGCTGTGTGGTGTCTACAAAGTGATTTTTCCAAGAGGCCTTCCATGTCGGTGTTGGTTAAGGTCTTGGAAGGTTCTGCAGATGTTCAAAGCAATTTGGATTATAACTTCACAACTCCTATGGCACCAAGACCAATTATAGTTGTTGGTCACCAAGGGGATGCCATTGGCGCTACTACTCCATTATTTGCATCAGCTTTATCAGGACCAAGGTAAATAAAGTAGACTCCAACAAGCAAATTACAACTGGTTGTTTAAAGTTTTTTGTATTCCATTTCATATGTAGTGAACTATAATCAAAGATTTTTATTTGTGCAAATCACAATCCATGATACCAGGATTAATGGTGTTTTAGGTAGAGTTGACAAAATTTCAACTCTCTCAATAATATTTGCCCCTTTTATTTCTTCAAGTTCTTCCATCATCATTTCCATAGTACATACAAAACTACATGAATATAGTGAGCTAGATTTCCCATGGTTTTAATTCAAACATTTTCAAGTTCTATAGTGAAGGCGAAGTACATAGATATTTTGTGAGAGTATGAGAGTTTCTCATGATTCAAGTAAAAGAAGAGAACATCAAATTAGTGGGTTACAATTCTAACTTTATTCTCCAAAAGATGTGTCAATGAAGAGTAAATTAAGTTTCAAGAAGGAATAAAGTTGGCTTATATTTTGGACAAATTTAGAGCCATTTTATGATTAATTAATTTGGTTAAAGGGTTATGTTTTTGAATTGCTAGGAAAGAAAATATTTTGTACATCAGTTAGCCTGCAGAATGTGCAATTTTTTTCACACTTTAAGCTTGACTGGGAAAACAAAAAGTGTGACATGATGAACAAAAAATTCTACTGCCATGTTTTTCCCCCTCTGCTTTCCCGAAACCTGTTGTTCTGTAACAGGAAATGGATAAACTGAAATCTGATTTGCAATATTTTTCTTGTATCATTTTTTTACATCGATTTTGCGCATTAGATCAATGCCCAAGCTGTTGTGTGTTCAATGGCTAAACTATGCACTACACGGATCAAACCTATTTGAATGAAGGCAAAAAATATAATTGGGGCCCTTTGTAATAATTTTTTTATGATTTTTATTTAAAATTCTTAACAATTTCCTAACCTTTACAATCAAAATAATTTTGATAAAATGGCCTTTTATTTATTTATTTTTATTTATTTTTGACTTGACCAGATAATTGAAGATGTGTAATGTAAATGTCCTCCAGTAAGAGAGGTTGTTTTCTCTCTTTACGATTTGACTGATAGTCTAGGATAACTCATGAAGTGTTATTCTTGTTTGATAATTTAAGATTTAATAATTTTTATTCATTTACTGAGAGATTTTTTGCCACTCTTTTTTTTTTTTTTTTTTTTTTTAGAATTATTTGAAGTATAAGTTCTTTTATGTATATATATATAAATATATTGTGTAGTGAATATATAGTAAGTAGGGCCCTCCTAAATAGAGCGCCTACTCCTTAAGCCACCACTAGTTTGCAGTAGATATGGTACGATAGCGTGGCAAGTTTGGACGGCAGTTACTCAGAAGTGGCTAATAGCAATACAAGTAAGCTAGTTTAAACAGATAAATAAACGATAAGCATCATAATCTTGAATGTTCTGAAATTATTCATTTGCTCTGCAAAGCTTCAAAACATTATAAGCTCATAGAGCTAAAGAATGTTACCTACCTCATTGTTGAGGTTGACATGTCAAATGCTATGAATACATAGACATGAAGAGTAGTTGCAAGCAAGCCTGTTTAAGTAGTTGCTACCATAGAGCTGCTCTGTTTTGTTCAAGTGATGTTTCCAATAAAAATTCAAGTGGAAAATGCTCTATATATACAACAACAGATCATCTCAATGAAGGTCAATAGAAAGTGCAGTCAATAATCAATTTGTAATCAAACTGGTATCCAGACTTGGAGCATTTTTCCGGTCTCTTTATTATAATTTTCATCTTTGTTTTCCTTTTCAAGGTAGAAAAGAGGAACTAATGAAACCATGGAGGATTATTTAGATCAAGAAATGCCGGGAATGCCCATGAGCAAGGTTTCGAAAAGCGGTAGCGGTTGCGGTTACGGTTGCCATAACAGTTGCGGTGGCACGATTGTGGTTGCAAGATATAAAGGTCATAACGTAACGGTTGCGGTAATCGAAACGGTGATTTTTTTTATTTTTCACACAATTTGAAGAAAACTTACCGATACGCATTTTACATTCTATTTCAATAGTTAATGACTTTAAAAATAATTGATTTTAAATATTTACAAATTATTTTTGACCAATACCTGAACTAACTGAATAAAATATATTCAAAATTATTAAATAAAATGATTATAAAAATAAAAATTGTGCCATAAACAAAAATTATTTTTGAGTTTTTTTGAAGATATTTTTTAAACAACACATTACAACAACAAAATAAAAAAAATATATTTACAATTAAATATTAAATAAAATGATTTTAAAAATAAATATAACCACTGTTTATATATTTTTTATTTTACATGCTAATGTAATGAAATAAAAATTAAAAAAAAAATTATAAAGAAAATAAATTCATATAAGATTTTTTCTTTAGGCTTCAATCACTTTAGTATTTGTTCTTTTTTTGTAAGTTTTTTTTTTTTCGAGAAAGGAAGCTACTCAGAGTATTATGAAAGGATGTAACGGTGTGTAATTGACTGTTACGGCTACTATGGTACCGCTACGGTGTAGACACCCTATTTTTGACTGCCCTTAAGACTTGGGCGTCGCTAATTGTTTACTTGGTGATGAAAGTTGTGCAGTGCAAAGGGTCGATTTCTTCGGCAAGAGGAGAGTCAAATCTCAACTTCGTACCCCTTTTTTGGACCAAAAAAATCTTGATCAAAAGATTTTAGACCTTGAAACCCTCTCTTTCAAAATGTTTTGAAAATAAAGTTCTTACGTTGTTCTAACGCTCGCATTTTGTCAAATGTTGCGTTTTTCGGTAAACCGAGCGAGGACAAAGTGGAAATGAATGAAAGAGAGATGA